TTTCCCTGGGCCGTGCTCTTCCTAGGGTGTCTGAGCTTGGGCTCAGGTCATCCGCGCCATCTCTGGGAGCAGTGTGTGATGGCCCCCAAGGCCATGCCTGCCTGGGCTCTCTGCTGTCCTGCACGAAGCTCAGCCACCACCAGTGACCTAGAAAGCATCCTCTGTGTGCCACAGGAGTCTGTCCTGGCACTGGCAGGCTGGTGGGGTGTTGGGAATGGGCAAAGCACTGCAGCTGGAGCCCTGAGCTCTGCACAGGGCCCTTCTACATTAGGGGCTCATCAGGCCTGCTCAGTTTTGAGGCTGCAGCATGTAGAAGGCAAGGCACCGGGGTGTTGTTTGCTGCTTGGGATGTGCTTTCTCTCGTGGTTTCACAACAAACCAAGGTTGGCTTTGGTAAAACAGCTTAACTAGGTGCCTGGCTTCTGCTCAGAAACCACAACACTGCTCCGGATGTCAGCTAGAGAAGTGTATTTAAAAGGCTGTTTCTGAAGGGCTCAGCCCCCTCCTGTACTGCCAGGATGGACACACAGCTCAGGCTCCTTCAGTGCGTCAGGGTTTCCCTGGGGTATCCCTGTAACAAGTCCCTTCAAAGGCTTCTTCCATTTGTGGAAAAAGTTTGCTGGGTCTTCCCCAGAGGTTGCATGGTGCTTAGGGAAGCAATCCTGTTTCTTCTGCAGCCATCCAGCGCTGGCAGTGTTGGCTTTGCCTGGCCAGGGTGGTTATCACCGAGGGCAAAGGAGCTGGGCTGGCTCCATTTTGGCAAGAATTAAATGGAAATTCAGTGGGAGCTGCACTCTGCAGAGCATCAGAAGTGGGAGAGCTGGAGACAAGAGGAGATGCTCCCCACTGTGCTCATGCTGAAGATGCGCCCATCCCCCGACGGATGCAGGCGGTGGTCCCACTTTATTGGTGGCACAGGGACCTGGGGACAGGAGATGGCTGCCGCGTGGCACCGCACACTGGGGCTCATTGCTGGCACAGCAGGGGCAGCCCCAGCACTGCGCCCTGGCCTGGCCCTGCCACCTCGGTGCTGGTGTTTGCTCGGGGCAGCGTGCAGGGGCAGCACTGTGGGCGGGAGCGGGTGGCCAGACGGTAAACACAGCCAAACAAGCCAGCCTTTCAGCCGTGCTCCTGGCAGCCAGGAGTGAGAAAATAACTCCTGGGAAGCTGTGTGCATGAGGTGCCAAGGGAACTAGCTGCAGCTTGGGGACGCAGCCCGCTTGCCACCCTGGGTACTTTTCCACTCACAGCTGGGCAGGACTGGTGATGGGAGCCATGGGGCCAGCAGTGAGGGTGAGTGCCCGCCTTTGTCATTGCCCCAGCAGGTGGGGTGAGCAATGGGGCAGCATGGCCAAGAACACCTTGCTGTCAGTGTTTTTTTGGAGCAAGTGGCCTCTGGAGCAAGCCCTCTGGGTACCCCTAGAACGATGAGTGTGGGGACAGCGGTGCCAACCCACAGGCTCTCCCTCCACCGCAGCTGAATGCTTGCCAGCAAGGCCGAGGGGATCTCTAGGGACAGGGATCAGGTGTGTCCAACAGCCTTTAGAGTGCTGCTTCCCCTTCTTCCCGGCTTTGCTTCAAGCTGGACTGGCATTCACTTGTGACCCTTGGCTCCATCCACTTAGGCAGGATCTACCTGTGCAGGATCATCCCATTGTGCTTTGTCTCCTCTCTGTAAGCCTGAGGCATCGGTGGCGCTGCACCTGAGCTGCCCAAGCTGTGATGCTGTGGCATTTTGGATGTGCCTCCGCCTTGGCAGCGCCAGGCCAAATTTCAGCATGTGTCTCTGCTCGGGAGGCAAGAAGGGATGCCTGCTCAGCACCCCACTGGTCTTGTTGCAGCAGTGTGCCGGTACCCCTTGGGAATGTCAGGCGGGCACATCCCCGATGAGGACATCTCAGCATCCAGCCAGTGGTCTGAGTCCACAGCTGCCAAGTATGGACGGTGAGTACAGGGACTCTCCTGTGACGGCCGCAACAGAAGGAGGACATGGGGCTGGCTTTGCCCATCTGCAAATGTCTCCTCTGCTCTTGGTTTGCAGGCTGGACTCAGAGGATGGTGATGGAGCCTGGTGCCCCGAGATCCCGGTGGAGCCCGATGACCTGAAGGAGTTCCTACAGATCGACCTGCGTGCCCTGCACTTCATCACTCTGGTGGGCACCCAGGGGCGCCATGCCGGAGGCCATGGCAATGAGTTTGCCCCCATGTATAAGATCAACTACAGCCGGGATGGCACCCGCTGGATCTCCTGGAGGAACCGGCATGGGAAGCAGGTGAGGAGGCAGGAGGGGGCTGTACGGGGTGGCAGGTGGGGTCTGCGCCTGCCCATTCCCACCGTGCTCCTCTGCCTCAGGTGCTGGATGGAAACTCCAACCCCTACGACATCGTCCTCAAGGACCTGGAGCCACCCCTTATCGCCCGCTTCATCCGCTTCATCCCTGTCACTGACCACTCCATGAATGTCTGCCTGCGTGTGGAGGTGTACGGCTGCGTCTGGCTGGGGGCGTGGGGTGGTCCTGTGCCCTTCCCTGTGTCCCCAGAGTCCAGCTGAGGGGCTGTCCATCCCAGTGAGGGCTGCACATCCCACCAGGGGATGGCTTGGACTCACCAGCAGCTGGGTGTCTGTCATGGACAGCCACTTACCCCCCCGTCCCCTGCAGATGGGCTGGTGTCCTACAATGCGCCGGCCGGGCAGCAGCTTATCCTTCCGGGGGGCACTGTCATCTACCTGAACGACTCGGTGTATGATGGGGCATTTGGATACAGGTGAGGACTGGGTGGGCTTGTGCACATTGTGGGTGCTGCAGTGGGCAAGAAGGGATGGGTTTCTCCCCCTATGTTGGCTGGCTGATGTGCTGATACTCAGCAGAGCAAACACTTGGGGTCTCCCTCAAGCAGGGGACATGGCCAGCTGTGGGAAGCTGCACATCATGATGTGTTCAGCATGATAGGGAAAGCATTCCCAGCCCTTCTCTTGGATTTACACTAACTGCACTGCATGTTCAGCATCCCATAGCCTTTTCCAGAGAGAACATCAAAAAGAACCAAACCCCCTCCAGAATTTCCCAGGGGCTGTGAGGAGATGCCGGGGAGATGCCAGGTGGTGGCAGGTTTGTGGGGTTGGCGGGAGTCATGCTGCCTTTCCCTCCTCACACACATCAGCATGACAGAAGGCCTGGGCCAGCTGACAGACGGGGTGTCAGGGCTGGACGACTTCACGCAAACCCATGAGTACCACGTCTGGCCTGGCTATGACTATGTCGGCTGGCGCAATGAAAGCACGACTGGTGGCTACGTGGAGATCACCTTCGAGTTCGACCGCATCAGGAACTTCACTGCCATGAAGGTCCGCATTCCCCCAACTGTACCCTGTCCCCATCCCCCACCATGGCCACACTGACAGGCTGCCCCACAGGTCCACTGCAACAACATGTTTGCCAAAGGGGTGAAGATCTTCAAGGAGGTGCAGTGCTACTTTCGCGCCGATGCCAGTGAGTGGGAGCCCAGTGCTGTCTCCTCAGTGCTGGTGCTGGATGACGTAAACCCCAGCGCCCGCTTCGTCACCGTGCCTCTTCTCCACCGCATGGCCAATGCCATCAAATGCCAGTACTACTTTGCCGACGCCTGGATGATGTTCAGCGAGATCACCTTCCAGTCGGGTACCCACCACCACGAATCCTATGGGGACTGGCTCCTCTGAGGGGGGATGTTCATGGAGGGTTTGGGGCTGTGGGGCATCCATGCATGCCTCCCACCTTGATGCTCCCCTCTTTTCCCTTGCCAGATGCAGCCATGTACAACAACTCGGTGGTCCCCCCTGAGATGCCTATGGTCCCCACCACTTATGGTAGGGCACTGAAAAGCACATCACCCTTAGCTGGGTGGGGAGATTCTTGGGGGGGTGCCCTGCCCCATCTGATAGAGGAAAGGGGCAGGGGCTCTCCCCACACCCCAGCATGACTGGCTCTTGCTGCCCCCTTCTCCTGCCAGACCCCACACTCAAAGTAGACGACAGCAACACACGCATCCTGATTGGGTGCCTGGTGGCAATCATCTTCATCCTGGTGGCCATCATTGTCATCATACTGTGGCGGCAGTTCTGGCAGAAGATGCTGGAGAAGGTGAGCAAGCGTGGGGTGGCTGTTGAGGTGCCTGAGGGTGATGGGGTCATCCTGGGCAGGTTCTTCTGGGAGCTCAGCATGGGCAAAGCAGACTCCATGTGGGGTCTGATGCTTCCTTCCTGCCCTTGGGAAGGCTGTGATTTGCATCCATCTCCCAAGCAAGGGGATTTAGCTGAGCAAAGTGGTGACTTTGGGACCTGACTGCTCGTCCATCCTTCTGTCCTGAAGTTGGGCTGAGAAAAAGGAGACTACAGAAGTCTCACTGCAGTCCCTGGCTAACCAAGGGGAGTCACAGAAGTGATGGAACCAAACTCTTCTCCATAAAGGCAGGCAATAGAAGGGGACTATATCAGCACAAACATTTTTCCCAGATGGGTGCTGCAGTCCTGTGACAGGGTACTAAAGAGCAGGGCTCAGGGCTGGGCATGGCCATGGTGCCATGGAGCACAGGAGACCCCATCCCACCAGTGCTGCAGGGAATCCCTGTCCGAGCTCTCTCCTTCCTTGCCCCCCTCCCGCAGGCATCACGGAGGATGCTGGATGACGAAATGACTGTCAGCCTCTCCCTGCCCAGCGAATCCAGCATGTTCAACCACAACCATTCGTCCTCATCCAGCGAGCAGGAGTCCAGCTCTACCTACGACCGCATATTTCCCCTGGGACCCGACTACCAGGAGCCCTCCCGCCTGATCCGCAAGCTGCCCGAGTTCACGCCAGGGGAGGATGACACAGGTGAGAGCTGGGGGTCCCTGTGTTCTTAAAGCGTGCATCAAGCCTGCTGCAGCCCCTCTCCCCAGCCCCAGCTTTTGGCTAATCTCCAAACATTTTGGCACAGAGGAGGTAGGAGGGAGGTCACACAAGCTCCTGCACATCCTGCTCTCAGAGGTTACACAAAGCCTGTGGCTCAGAGCCATCATCAGTGCCAGGCTGTGATGTGTCCCCACCACCATCCTTGGGATGCTCTGGCATCTCTTCCTCAGTGACCTGGAGGTTGGGCACTGATCCCTGCTCATCTGGTGCTTGGGGCTGGCTTAGTGCATTTGTCAGTCATGGCGAAGGAGTGGAACATCCTGTGGTGTCTGCAGGAGCCCAGCCATGCTGGGGCAGTGCAGGGGCTCTGGGGAGGACCAGGATGGAGAAGCCAATGGCTGGAGCGTGAGCAGAGGGTGCAGGGTAGGACGCCAATGGCAGGGCTGGCCCTGCTGTACCTCCTCAGGCTGCAGTGGCCCTGTGAAGCCATCTCAAGCCAGTGTCCCCGAGGGTGTTCCCCACTACGCTGAGGCCGACATCGTGAACCTGCAAGGTGTGACAGGCGGCAACACGTACTCGGTGCCAGCCCTCACCATGGACCTGCTCTCTGGTAAGGACGTGGCCGTTGAGGAGTTCCCCAGGAAGCTGCTGACCTTCAAGGAGAAGCTGGGGGAAGGCCAGTTTGGGGAGGTGAGTGTGAGCTGGACCTGCCCTGAGCAGGGCTCAGGCAAGGCTCTTCCCAGTTCGTGGGGGCTGGCAGAGGCTGTTGGTCAACAAAGTTAATGGCTGCCCCTTGTCCTCCTCCAGGTGCATCTATGTGAAGTGGAGGGGATGGACAAGTTCACAGGCAAGGACTTTGCCTTGGAGGGCTTGGATGCCAGCTCCAACCACCCTGTGCTGGTGGCTGTGAAGATGCTCAGAGCAGATGCCAACAAGAATGCCAGGTATGGGGCTGGGAGGTGCATACACCCCAGCATTCTCCCCAACATAGACCCCTCAAGGAAAGCCAGGACACTTGGAGAGCATCCCCTGCCTCCAGCTGCCAGGACCTCAGTGCAGCTGAGAAGCCCACATGTCTGAGCTCTATGGGGATGTTTGGTTGCTGCAATTCAGGATTCTTGGTCCTTGCTGGTCCTAACCAGCTCTGCAGTGCCCCGTCTACCCACCAAATACACCCTGCAGCCATGTGTGATCAGTCCAGAGCTTGGATCCTCATGGTCCCAGTCCCCACAGGTTCTCCACAAGGCTTGGGCGGGTGGGTAGCACGCTCGGCTTGGTCCATGTGCCCCTCCATGCCCCTCTGGGTCTGTCTATCCGATCCGTGTGGTTTCTGTTCCGGAAAGGAATGATTTTCTGAAGGAAATCAAGATCATGTCACGGCTGAAGGACCCCAACATTATCCGGCTGCTGGCAGTGTGCATCACAGATGACCCCCTGTGCATGATCACCGAGTACATGGAGAACGGCGACCTCAACCAGTTCCTGTCCCGCCAGCAAGGAGCCAGCACCCCCACTGGCCAAGTGCCAACTGTCAGGTAGTGACACTGGATGGGCAGGGGGGACAGGGCTGCCTGCTCTAGGCACCCTGTGAGGCTGTGGGGCACTCTGCCTGGGGCAGTGTACCGCTGCTGCCATCCTGCCCGGCACCTCAGTCTTCCCTTGTCCCCTCCTGGCATCTACAGCGACCTGCGGTTCATGGCCACCCAGATCGCCTCCGGCATGAAGTACCTCTCCTCCCTGAACTTCGTGCACCGAGACCTGGCCACTCGCAACTGCCTGGTGGGGAAGCAGTACACCATCAAGATAGCTGACTTCGGCATGAGCAGGAATCTCTACAGTGGGGACTACTACCGCATCCAGGGGCGGGCAGTGCTCCCCATCCGCTGGATGTCCTGGGAGAGCATCCTGCTGGTACGTGGGGACTGGTGTCCTCCAGCGGGCACTCTCAGCCTCTTTCTCAGGCTGGGGCATGCAGAAGGGCTGGGGAAGTCTCTCCTTCCTGGAGCCCAGCTTTGGGGTGAAGCATGCAGAAAGCAAGAGTGGTAGCAGCTTTTTGAGGTGGGATGGGGGAACTGTAGTGATCTTTGGTGTCCTGGTGCCCAACCTTTGAGCAGGATGCTTGACATTTTCTACTGGCCATGGTCAGACCTGGAAGAGGCAGCAGGGTTACTTTTTGTCTTTGAAGGGATATGGGTCCTTACCAAGCCCCAGCTCTCAAAGCAGTTGCTGCAAATCAGACCTAGGTATTGCCAGGCTCTGGCCCCAGGCAGAGAGCAGGTTTGCAGGACCAAGCTGGACCACTCTGGGCCCAGATCTGGAAGCTGAAGCACGCAGAAAGAGGTTTCAAACCCTGTGCCTGTAGGGCTTATGGAACAGGATGAGGTAATGCCCATGCCCATCCCTGCTCTGCTCTCTCTGGCCAGGGCAAGTTCACGACAGCCAGTGATGTGTGGGCATTCGGCGTGACACTGTGGGAGACCTTCACACTCTGTCGGGAGCAGCCCTACTCCCAGCTCTCAGATGAGCAGGTCATTGAGAACACCGGCGAGTTCTTCCGGGATCAGGGCAGGCAGGTAGGGACAGGGATGGGATGGGATGGGATGGGATGGAATGGGATGGGATGGGATGGGATGGGATGGGACAGGTCAGGACAGGATGGGACAGGACGGGGTGTGATGGAATGGGTTGGGATGGAATGGTACAGGATGGGACAGAAGAGGTAGCAGTGCATCTGGGACACCAGGAACCTGGGGAAAGACTCCAAAGTGGCCAGATAGGGACCTTGGCTATGGGGGAATTATGGGACAGGAACTCCTCTGG